GACAAAGCTTTCTACAGTTCCTTCATCATTTATTTTGTTCATTTTACCAACTATTGCTTGTAAACAACTTGTTCAAAAAGAGTTCCTCTATGAGTTGCTTGTTCAACGAATTAAACACATGTTTACATATTATATACTGGTATATATATTTAACTTTACCACAAATGAACTCTTACATTTGTTATCTCCAAGTACACAAATTTGTAAGAACTATTGTAACATATCCGAAAAAAATGCTAAAAGAAAAAAACAAATATAAGTTATTCACATAAAATGTCGGTCAGAGTCTATTACTTACTTCAATGTATGATTTGTTTCCTTCCTTTCTTCCTTCCGTGCTTCCTTCCTGTTTTATTTCCCGAGTATCTACATCACTTGCTTATTACATTTCATTACTTACAAGACGTGAAACTTACACACTTTGCATATGATAAAGATACTTTAATGCCATACACTTTTTTGCAGTTTTTTTTTAGTTTTTTATGATATTTTGTTATATATAAAACAGTATACATTTGTATTTTTACTTAGTCATAATATAATTGTTTTTCTAATATTTAGGTATTTTAGTTAAGTTTTCGACTATAAAGTTCACCACATATTTTATTAGAATTAATAGCTTTGTATGCATAAATTTTCCATCCATGAATTTTTGTGTTCCATCATTAGATCGAAACGCTAAAAGCAACTAGAATTTCTTAGAAATATTTGCAAATATATTATATGTACTCTGTCAATACAGACTAAAACATTGAATTAACAAATAAATTTTTATTGTTTCGCGTTGCTGAACTCTAGTACATCACATACTTTTAGGCTTGTCCATTTTACTATAAGTTAATTTTTCTGCGCCGCAAACTTGATTATTAATATATAAACAATCATTTTTTTCGTGTTGTGTATGTGTGTACTTTATAACCACAAAGCAATAACGCAAATATTCTGCAATGCCACAAAATATAACTACGAGGACTCAACAATCCTCGTTTTTTTTCCCAATCCTGTTGTGGTCCGCTCTGTAATTTTGAATTATGCGCCGCGAAATATGCAAACAAATATTGTGTGGTGTGTCGCATTTTTAATTGCTATTTTATGACCTCAAACAACGATAGTGCAGTGCAACAAGCAAATGACGCCAACAATAACGTCGACGATGGACGATGTCGACGACGACGACATCGCCATTATCGTTCCTATTTCGTCCATTGGTGCCCGCCGTATGCTTGTTAAGTTCATTTATTTTTGCATATCAAAATTTGTTTAAATTGTTTCTGCAATGAAATTTTATTGAAAACATTAAGTAAATGCAGTGCAGTAAATATTTTATTTGTTAATAGTTCACCACATGCAATTACAGCACATACACATGTACACAAGAATTATTACACAGCCTTTAAATTGATTGCACTTCAACTTTTTAACGTTTTAATTTTATTTAAATATGTTTTTTTTCTTTTTTTTTTTAATTTATTATTTTTTTTTACAGTAGCATTTAATATACTATATACACATATATACATATTTGCATACAAGTATGTTTATATATTAATTACTTTTATTGTTACTAAGAACAATTGTTTCTGGTTTCATATTGTATTGTGATGACATATTGTATAATTTAAATAATTTAAAACTATCAACAAAAATGTTAAATGAATTACAGTTAAATTAAAAAGATGATAAAAATTAAAAACACATTTTCATTAAATTTTTTTAATTCTGTATTTAAAGCACTGTTATTGAAATTTATGTAATTTATTAAAACAGAGCGCTATATAAAAAACAAAAGTATATAAATTTCTAATACTGTCTTACTTAATCATTTTTAAAGTTTCAATATAATGATTATCCATAAATGTGGGATCAGTTCAAAAAAATCCTTTATTGGAGTGACATCTTATATTAAGTAATTATTTCCAGTTTTAATATCAAATTTGTCGTAAAAAACTTCTACAGATAAGAATAGATCTATCCTGATGAATTTACGGGATGTAAGTTACTTCGTTCTTAATGATAAGAAGTCCAACAAATTGTCAAAAATGTGCTTATCTAAAAACATGTTTCTTTCATTAGCAAAAGCTGAGCAATCACCAAAAACAAAAAATGAATAATTTTTTCTTTTTTTTAAGTGAAGAAATACATAGTATTACTGCGATGGTTTCTATGTCTCAGGAGCCTGAAAGAACTTCATTTAATCTCACAGAATTGACACTACTACCCCTATTAATAAGTATCCAAAATCTGTTTATACCTGATTATGCACAGGTTCAACACATTATTCGCTGGCTGAAGAAAATAGAATAAGGAGTCCGTCTTCACAGTCTCTGGAAAAATGCAAACCAGCACCACTAGAGAGACATCCATAGAATCATCAAAGCAGGTTAAATTGTCAGTTTTTTCTTGTCCTTTAATATTCCTAAAAGTCAATTAAACCAGCCAATTTCGATCCTATATTCATTCTTTCACTAGTTTTCATTTAATAATGATAGTAAAGAGCTCTAGTAAAGAGCCGTCGTCGTGTGTTAATAACTCAATTACAGTAATTTGTGTAATACTATGTGTGAGTGTTAGACTCTTGTGACGCCTTAGGTTGAACTTTGCTTTTTTGTTTTATTTTTTCCTTTTTTTTTTCGCAATTTTGTACGTTTGTTAAAGTCTGAAATAAAGCACCATCCCAAAATTATTTGAAATATCACTGGTAGTGAGTGAGTATCACTGGCAGCACTGAGCGGTTGATTTCAATATGATATCACAGGGGTCTAAGCAATTAGCTTCGGCTAAACTAACACATAGCGGCGTTGGTTCGTTATAGGAAGAATTGTACTGGATGTGATTAAAACGCAAAAATTAGGGGTTGGAATCACTATATTCATTTACTTCATTGGATGTCGAGTTGCATTAGGCAATCGGGTGTTGTAATTAAAAGATCAGCAGAAGTGTTAAATAGGTTTTGATCCCCAATATGGAGGAAGCTATATCCAAACGTTTAGCTTCAATTAGTACTTATGGAACTCCTTGGAATTCTAATGAAGCGTTTATTGGTGTATTATAATGCTACGTGTGTTAAAAACGTCGTGTTATTAAACACTCATGGCAGGTAACCACATTCAATTATTTTAGACTTTTGTCCCTTGGCTGTCTTACTTGGAATAACTACAATTTTCAATTCCAAGGCATCAACATTCATCAGATATATCTGCTCCAGATTTCACTGCATGATTGACTTAATGTCATTCCGACTGTCAATTGATGTGTTAGCATTAGCTTTTGTTATTTAAAATAATTAAATTCAAAATTATATATAATATAAAGTTTCGTACATTAATTAAATATTGGCACAAAAAAGTATGTACCATTAAAGCGAATGTATGCCGCAGGATACAGAATTTTAACGCTATCTGGTAACAGTATGGCCTAACAAGACTAACCGTGGCTTGTGACCAGCAAGATTAACCTACCCCAACCTTACCAAAAAAAAAAATCGGTCGCCATATATTGACAATGCCAAAATTAATCTGTTATTCCGGAAGTCGATGACATTATGAAGATATCTAAATAACATGTTGATTTTATACTGTCTCGTTTATATACGAGTTTATTATCAGATCACTTTAAGGCAGTATTAGGTTTTTCATATAAAGGCATTACTTTTCCAGTGAGTCTATTGGCTCTGATAGCTCTTCAGCTTTCTCACCATTATAAAAGTTTGCTTTAAGTCAATCTATACTTTTGATTTTAAGTTATTTTAAGTTTGCATTATTGATTAAGTAAGAGCTCAGCTTATAAAAATTACGAATATTTAAATTGACTGTTGACTTTTATCTGATAAATCAAGTATTACAACCTTTTCTAGAAATAACATTAGTTTTCTGTTCATTCAACTAAGAGAGCTTTTTCTAGTTTTAAAATTTATAAGCAAATTCCCAGCTTATTAAAATGTAAATTTGCATTACTTATACAAGCTGTAAGCGCTAGATTTATACTTACAGTAATTACTCGTTTTTGCATATTAATTGCCTTTCGACGTTTTACAACGAAATGTGATGCATCGCAGTAGTGCAGTGAAAATAAAACTAAATAAATAAAATAAAATTAGATTGTTTATCAAGATACATTTTCATTTGTTGTTTTTATTTGCTCATATGTGTGCACTAAAAAATAATATTAAAATGAATTACTTTTGTTAATGTTTATATATACTTAGCTACTTTTTTAGATACTACTATTTGCCCACTGTAAGAGCACTTTTCTTCAGCAGCACGCGATCATTATAATTTATTTTGCACGTTGACTTTGATACAAAATATGAGGTATGAGGTGTGAGTTATGGGCCATGGGCTGTAAGCTCTATGGTTTTGTGCTGGTACTGTGTCGTTCGCTCTGCGCACACTTAAAGAATCTTTTTAATGTTTTCAGTGGTTTTATTGGCATTATTATTTTGTTTTATTAAGACCGGAGACAGTCTCATGCTGTCGACACTTCTAGGCAGCCACTTTTGGATTGATATTGGCGGAGGCGTTTGTTTGCTCGTCTCCCTTGATTAAACACACAGTTATAGATATAACGAAAAAAAAAAAACAACAATACGAATAACTACCACAGCGCAAATATTATACAAATAATATAAAAAAATCATACTATAGACAATAGAATGCTGTTGTAAATACTAAAACCACATCTGAATATATACTAGATACATATAAGATACATATAAGTGTATTTTGTATTATTACTCTTATTAGTTTTATTAGTTTTTTTTCTCGTTTTATTTTTGTTTTTTTATTTACTGTTTTTGCAATTAAGATTTTTTTTACATGTTTGATTTTGTGTATCGAATGTGAAAACATCATTAATTGTTTGCAGTTATCCAAATGGTTCAGTTCAGTTCGGTTTTTATCACTTGTTATCGTTTATTGTAAAATTAATAAAAATAAAAATGTCTCTTTATTATTTTATAAAAATTAATATAAATTTATTTAAATTATTTTTTCTAATTTCAGGCGCAAATGGTTACCTCAACCACTACGTAAATTGTCACAGAGTAAGGTGGAAAAACCGTCAACTGAAAAATCACTTATCAAGAAGACTTCAGAGAAGAGTCTAAGAGTAAGTTTAAAAATATATGTATACATTAAGACTGAAAAGTTTTCGGAAATTCTCATTTAAAATTCGCGCGCTGTATATTTTTCGATATTTTAAGTTTATGTAGTTTGGCAGCACTGTCCTTAATTACTATGCCAAAAATGAGCGCGATCTGTCAGACAGTTCGTTTACGGCAGCTGTTGAAACCAGTTCCCCTCAGTAGTGCGTTGCGAAATGTCTTCGACGGTCGTACGACCGTCCTGAAAGGCTTTGTACCACTCATAAACTTGAGTTTTCGATAAAACTGATTCCCCATAAGCCTTTTGTAGCATTCGCAACGATTCTGCACACGAAATTTCGTTCGAAACACAAAATTTGATGCAAACTCTTTGTCCAATATTTTTTTCCATTGTTTTTTTCGCAACGCACTACTGAGGTGAACTGGTTTCAACAGCTGCCGTAAACGAACTGTCTGACAGATCGCG